TTTTTCTGTAAATCAATTCCCAAAAGCAGGATTGTTGGGGCATGGGGTGTATGCAGTTTTGATCTGATCACATACAAGCACATTTTTTTTTTTTAGGGATAGTGGCAGTTTGCAGCCTCAGAAGTGTTCTGAGTGCCTGTTCCTCCAGATCCTTGCCCGCCCAGGACGTCAGCACTATCCAAAGCTTCCTCTGAACGCTCCTTGCAGTGCACAAGATAGAAATGATTGACAGGCACGGAGCCGCGGCAGGCCCCACGCTGGACACCAGCATCTGGCACCGTGGGTCACCAAGCACCAACCTGATCTCCTCGGAGCCAGGTGTGTGTTGGGATTCAGGATTTTTCCGTTTCAAAGGTAGTATGATCTCTACTCCACAGGGCACACGGCACCCTCAGTGCTCAGCACAGCAGTGGGCAGCAGCCTGGTGAGCTTTTCTGCAGGGAAGTGTGTGAACGTTCACACCGAGCGGGGTCAGTCACGTCTGTGAGTCATCTCCCACCAACACAGGTCAGGTTTTCCCGCCCAATGAGCTTGGGGATGGCTTCACTTCGAAGCTCTTTGGATCTGTGGATTCTGGAATTTTGGATTTGTGATACCCATTTGATCAAAGAGGCAACCAAAGGCCGGGCGCGGTGGCTCACGCCTATAATCTCAACACTTGGGGAGGCCGAGGCGGGAGGATCATGAGGTCAGGAGATCGAGACCATCCATCCTGACTAACACAGTGAAACCCCGTCTCTACTAAAAATACAAAAAAAAAATTAGCCGGGCGTGGTGGCGGGCGCCTGTAGTCCCAGCTACTCGGGAGTCTGAGGCAGGAGAATGGTGTGAACCCGGGAGGCGGAGCTTGCAGTGAGCCAAGATTGCGCCACTCACTCCAGCCTGGGCAACAGAGCGAGACTCCGTCTCAAAAAAAAAAAAAAAAAAAAGAGGCAACCAAGGTCTAATGGGTCAAGTGACTTTCCACATCCGTGAAGGTCATGAGAAGCAGGACCAGGATGGTGGCCCAACAGTGTCTTCAAGGATAAGCTGGGCCCTTGACCGTGCAGGCCCCTCTCCGTCGGTCCACTCTGCCACTGCTGTCTGCCACACCCTGCCCTGATCTCTCCTCTCTGCCAGGTTTTTCCCTCACGTCCTCAACTCAGCCAAGAGCTGGTTTCTTCCAGAAAGAGCCCTGCTGTCAGGTGATTTATCGGACTTCTCTTTTTTTGGATGTTTGTTTTCAGGGTTTAGCTGATCAAAGTGGTATCGTTGTCACAGGCAGCTCTCAATATACGTTTTCAGAGGCCTGTGTGTCTTTTTCTGTAAATCAATTCCCAAAAGCAGGATTGTTGGGGCATGGGGTGTATGCAGTTTTGATCTGATCACATACAAGCACATTTTTTTTTTTTTAAGGGATAGTGGCAGTTTGCAGCCTCAGAAGTGTTCTGAGTGCCTGTTCCTCCAGATCCTTGCCCGCCCAGGACGTCAGCACTCTTGTTAATTTTATTGTGTCTGGGTAGTGAAAAAGAGTAGTCTCTCATTCTTTCAAACTGCATTTCCCAGTTATTAGAGTTTGAATCTTTTTGTCTGTTTACTGATGTTGGAATTTTTACTTTATTGAATATTCATCTCAGTCGATTACTTTTAAATGGGTTGTCTTTTTCTTAGTTTATGAAAGCTTTTGTAGATTGTATCTGTTAAGAATAATATATTTAGATTATATCTTTTAAGAATATTTCTGCATCACAACTTTTAACACACATGCACACACACACACACACTCTCACACTCTCTCTCACTGTTCCCCAGTCTATCAATTTGCCATTTGACTTTACGGCATTTTTTTCAATCTATAATTTGTCAAATAAGCTATCGTTTCCTTTCTGGTTTTATGATCTCTTGCTGAAACTCCTCCCTCCCCACTTTCCCTACCCAGTTATACAACATGCAGACAACATACAAATATTCTAATTTCTCTCTTTTTTTTTCCCCCCCAGAGATGGAGTCTCACTCGGTCACCCAGGCTGGAGTGCAGTGGGTGCAACTTCCACCTCCTGGGTTCAAGCAATTCTCCTGCCTCAGCCTCCCGAGTAGCTGGGGTTACAGGCTTGTACCACCCCGCCCAGCTAATTTTTTTTTTTTTTAAGTAGAGATGGGGTTTCACTGTGTTGGCCACTCTGCTTTCAAACTCCTGGCCTCAAGGGATCCACCCATCTTGGCCTCCCAAACTGCTAGGATTACAGTCATGAGCCACCGCAGCCAGCCTGTCTCTGTTTTTTGTCTTTTTTTTTTTTTTTTTTTTTAAGAGACAGTTTTTTTTTTTTTTTTTTTTTTTTTTTTTTTTTTTTTTTTTTTTTTTTTTTTTTTAAGAGACAGGGTCTTGCTCTGTTGCCCAGGCTGGAGTGCAGTGGCACGATCACAGCTCACTGCAGCCTCGAAACGGGCTCAAGCCAGGAGCCTCAGCCTCCCGCGTAGCTGGCACCACAGGCATGCATCACCATACCCACCCTCCTAATTTCTCCTGAAATTCTTCTGTGCCTTTACTTGTACACATCCAGATCTTCCACCCATCTTATCTATAGAAGGTTTTGGCCAGATGGAGAGCCGATATGTCACTACTGCTGCTAAACCAACCGTCCTTTCCACACTGACTTGAAATCTGTCTTCTGTCATGCGTGTATATATATACACACACACACACACACACACTTAGATCTATTTCTAGGCCATCTATTCTGTGCCAGAGATGTCTGCATCTTCCTATCTCAGAACACATGTATTACTTTTAGAATCAGAAGAAAGGGTTCTTTTTGTTTTTTGATTTTTTTTTTTTTTTTTAAAAACCATGTCTTTGGAGCCCCTGCTGAGCCTGGACAGGCACAGAAATTCCTGGCGGCTGGGAGGCCAGGGGAGAGAGGACAGCAGGGAGGATGTCACAGCCCCGAATCAAGGGAGAGGAGAAATAAGGAGGACTCAGCTGCTTGTAAAATAGTCTTCCCTTTTATTTTCAATCAACCCTTTTCCAAGTTAGTGCCACGAGTTGAGATCAGGGGGTCAGAGCCCACTGGGATGTGGCGGGGGCAGCAGGGGGACTCATGTCCCCCGCCCCCAGCTCAGTCCCTCCAAGGATGGGACCGGCAGCCAGGGATGAAGGGTGTGAGGCTGTCTGCCCCCTCCCCTGCCAGCCCTACTCCCTAGTCTGCCCCCTCAGCTACTCCCAAGGCCAAGGACAGGGAGGCGGTCCTGTGCGGGCTGTCCGTGGCCAAGAGTGTTAGTGGTCAGAGCCCAGGCAGGCTGGGTTAGTGGGGTCTCCTCCGGCAGCCAGGGAAGGAACTGTAGAGAAAGGGAGAGACAGAGCAGTGATGCAGGTGGGAGGGCCTGCCCCGTGTGATCCACCCAGCAGGAAGCACGCAGCCCATGCCTGGAGCAGCTCAGAGGGCAGGAGGAGAGGGCAGAGGCCAGGCTGTAGGAGCTGGGGGTGTCCCTTGGAAGCTCACCGAAGAGGGGAGCCAGGGTCCAGTCCGGCAGGGAGGAGGGGCTCAGATAGACGACTGCCACTGCACAAAGCGCTTGGATTCCTGCTGGAAGATTCAGGGGAGAGGAGGGAATGGAGTGGGAATTGGTTTTGTACTGTGGGAGCCCTGCCCCTCCTCCCTCAGGCCCGAGTCCAGGCCCCCAGCCCCTTCTCCCTCAGACTCAGGAGTCCAGGCCCCCAGCCCCTTCTCCCTTAGACTCAGGAGTCCAGGCCCCCAGCCCCTCCTCCCTCAGACCCAGGAGTCCAGGCTCCCAGCCCCTCCTCCCTCAGGCCCAGGTGTCCAGTACCTGAGGGTTGAAAGGGTCGTCATCGTCTGTGTCATCGTAGTCGTCACTGGGGTTTGATGCGGGGCATGGCAGAGAGGCGGGATGGGGACCCATCAGGAGGCTGCACCCCCCACCCCAACCATGGTCCCCAGGTGCTGCCCCCGCTCCCCAGGACCCTGCCCTCCCCCGCTCCTGACCTGGGCGGGAAGAGGGCCCAGGCTCGGGGCAGGCTGCAGAGTGCAGTGGCCAGTGCTCCTGCGGACAGCAGGGAGAAGAGCAGCAGGAAGAGCAGGCCTTCCAGGGCGTCTTCGCACAGGCCCCGCAGGGCTGCGCCATAGTCCTGAGGGGAGGGCGTCATCGGGCAGTGCCCCCACCCCCTCCCCCACCAGCACACACTGTGCACACCAGTCTGGCTGTCCTCCCAGCTGTGGTACTGCACACATCAGCTGACTGCTCTGTGACTCAGTTTCCCCTGTCAAAGGGCAGTTCTGAGAATACAGTGGGGTCGTTGGTGTGATAGGCCTGGCACTCAGGAATTAATTGCACAGACTCCAGACTTGGCGTCTCCTGAGCTGCACACCCCCCCCAACCCTGTGTCATTGCAGGTCCCCATCTCCCTTTCACATGGATCCTTCCCCACCAGCACCCCACATCCAGAACCAGTCCAGCATCTCCCACCAGCCCTGGGCCCTCTCCTCCATCTTCATCTGCCCCGGAACCTGAGAACTGCCCCTCCTGTTTCCCTTCTGCGTCCCGGCAGCGGCACCCCCTGCAGAAGCATCCTCTCCTGTACCAAGCGCCCGCAGGCCAGCCACCGCCAGCTCCGCCTTGGCCCAGGGGTGAGGGCTTCATAACCTGGGCCCTGCTGACATTTTGAGCCAGATCATTCTCTGTGGTGACGGCACTGCCCTGTGTGTTGTGGGGTGCTGAGCAGCACCGCTCAGTTCCACCCACCAGATGCCAGGAGGACCCCCTCCCGCGGTGTGGCAACCAATAGCAACTCTGCACCCAGTCAAGTGTCCATGGGGGCTACAGCACATGGAACGGCATGTAAAAGAACCAACCAGTGGCTCAGGATGACACCACACACACAATACACACTCAACACGCCAACAAATGCTGGCTCTGATGACTGTCATCCCAAGAAATCAGCAGAAGCGGCCTTCACCGAATGCTAAGCACCTGCACAGCCTAATGCACTCAGTGGGGGTTGACAGAGCCTGCTCCGCCCCGGGCGCTGCCCCCAGTACCAGGAAACTTTGGTAAACAGGACAGAGAAGGTCATCTCAGAGGGTGGTGTGTGCAACGAGGTAGGAGGGCGAGGGTCAGTGCAGGGTGGGAGTAGGTCGGGTGACCCCACCAGCAGGGATGGGTCCTCCAGGAAAGAGCCAGGCAGAGGGCTGTGCAGAGGAAGCTGGGAAGGGCTGAGGCCAGAGGCAGACGTATCCAGGACTGACCACCCAGGCCCTTGTAGGTCAGGGCGAGGAGCAGGGATTTTAATCCATGTCCAGGGGGAATCACCAAGGGTTTTAAGCAGAGGAAGAACTTGATCGGATTGTGTTTTAAAAGGATCACCCGGCTGGCTGGCTGCTGCATGCAGGACAGACGGGGGTAGGCGAGGGGGGGACAGGGAAGAGGCCCCTGCGGTCATGGCGTTTAGGGTGCGGGGACCCGGGCACAGTGGTGGAGGTAGGAACAGTGGTGGGAGTCCAGATAGGTTTCAGAGGAAGGGCCAACAGAACTTGTTCCGAGAATGGTTGTGGGAGGTAAGAGCAGGGAGCTGGTTGTGGGAGGCACGAGCCTGAGTTTCTGGCAGGAACACCTGGTCGAGGTGGGGTGTCTGTTACTAAGCCAGTGAGGGCAGGGGTAGGGACCTGTCGGGGCAATGGAGGCTCTGTTTTGAGAGTAGTGGTACATGCACACTGTCCTTCATCCTCACAACAGCCCTGCCAGGCAGACACTGACCCCCACACGCTGCTGCCTTTTGCAATGGTGGAAAGAAGTTGCAGCCCAGAGAGGGCAAGCTACTTGTCCGGAGTCACACAGTCTGGAAAGGGCAGAAGTGAGATGGAGCTGATTCACTTAGGCTCTGGCGCACACCCTCCTTCCTCCTCATCCCTGATGTCCCTTATTGTTGATTTTTTTTTTTAATGTTAAAATAGAGATGGGGTTTCACCATGTTGGCCAGGCTGGTCTTGAACTCCTGAGCTCAAGGAGTTCTGATCTGCCCCCACTGGGCCTCCCAAAGTGCTGGGATTATAGGCACAAGGCACCCATGCCCAGCCCCCTCTATTTTTTTTTTTTTCTTTGAGATGGATGATCGCTGTGTCGCCCAGGCTGGAGTGCAGTGGCATGATCTCAGCTCACTGCAATCTCCACCACCCCGGTTCAAGCAATTCTCGTGCCTCAGCCTCCTAAGTAGCTGGGAATGCAGGGGTGCGCCACCACGCCTGGCTAGTTTTTCTGTATTTTTAGTAGAGATGGGATTTCGCCATGTTGGCCAGGCGGTTCTCAAACTCCTGACCTCAGGTGATCCACCCACCTTGGTCTCCCAAAACGCTGGGATTAGGGGCATGAGCCACAGTGCCTGGCCTGGCTGATTATTCTTGATTTTTAATCTGTGAGGACCCTGATGCCCTGACAGGGGAGATGGAGGCCCAGGGTCTCATGGTGCGGCCGTAGGGGAGGGTAGAGTGATCTGTCCTCCTCCCTCCCTTCCCTCCCTCCACAAAGGGGTCCAGGGGTCCTGTATTCCGGCCCAGTTTCTGCCTAGGCCACAGAAAAGTGCCTGGACCCCAGTTTATCCTTATGCAAAAGATCAGGGCAGCCCTGGGCTGGGTGGGGGCCCAACCTTTCCCAGCTCAATAGTCGGCAATTCTGAACATGGCTTCAGTGCTTGCTCCCCACTCCCTTTTCGGAATGCCAATTTCAGAAGGGTGGGGGGCAGTGGGAGCCACAGAAGGGGTCCGTCTGAGCCAGAGCAGGGAAAGCTCAGGTCCAGGTATGGTGTAGATGAATCCCTTTTGGGTAGGGTTGCCAGATCAAATTCAGGACTTCCAGTTCAATTTGAATATCAGATGCCCATAAGGATAAACCGGGGTCCAGGCAGTTTTCTGTGGCCTAGGCAGAAACTGGGCTGGAATACAGGACCCCCGGACCCCTTTGTGGAGGGAGGGAAGGGAGGGAGGAGGACAGATACATAATTTTCTAGGGTAAGTATCTCCCCAGCATTGCACCGGGCATACTTATAGCAGAGTGGTTTGCTGTTTGCTGAATCTGGCAGCCCTATTCTAGGGTCCATGGGGGGACAGATGGGGAAGGGACCATGCTTCCTTCTCCAGGAGAGAGAATGAGGCCTCAGCTGCAGTAGGGGCATTGGGCATTGAGAGTAGATGGATAAAGACATTCCAGAAGCAGAAAGGACAAGACTGGGCAACTGCCTGGCTGTGGGGGGCAGAGGGTGGGGCCCTCCGGAAGGTCCCTCTATCTTCAGTGTGCACGGGCTGGCTGGCCATGGGACCTTGGGAAAGTCCCTCAACTCTGCACCTCATCTTCTACGTCTGTTCTGTGGGATAAGGGATAATCATAGTTCCTTCCTCATAGCATTGTTATGAGTCATCGATGAGTTACCACCTGTGAAACGCAACAGGGTCAGGTACTCGGTGAAGCTATGCACACGTGCGGTCTGTGATGGGCAGACTGGCCCGGGAAAGGCATCCTCAGGTGTGTGTTTTCAAACAGCTCTCACTGGTTTTGTTTGTTTGTTTGTGACAGCGTTTCGCTCCTGTCGCCCATGCTGGAGTGCAGTGGCACAATCTCGGCTCACTGCAACCTCTGCCCCATGGGTTCAAGTAATTCTCCTGCCTCAGCCTCCCGAGTAGTTGGGATTATAGGTGCGCGCCACCACCGCGCCTGGCTAACTTTTTGTATTTTTAGTAGAGACGGGGTTTCACCATGTTGGCCAGGCTGGTCTTGAACTCCTGACCTCAGGTGATCCGCCCACCTCGGCCTCCCAAAGTGCTGGGATTACAGACGTGAGCCTCTGCGCCCGGTCATCTCCTACTGTTTTATAAGGGAATTTGTTTTTTTCAATCCTCACAACCATCCAGTAAAAAAATAATAATAACACTCGTCCTTCCTCACGGTACGGGTGGGAAGCAGAGTCAGCCATGCTCACCTGCCTGTGGCCGTGCAGCCTACAGCAAAGCCCAAGCCGGAGTCCACAGGACACCAGATATCTTTCCTCCTGGGCACCCTGCCCACCCCTGCCTGTCCAGTGTATGAACAGCATACGCCCCAGGGGAGCTGGACAGGTGCCCACTCTTGCAATCCCAGTTTTATAAGTGAGGGAACTAACTGAGGTACAGAGAAGTTAGGTGACTTGCCCTTGGTCAAGAGCTAGGACTGGAACCCAGGCAGTCTTACTCCAGAACTCACTGAGCGGCAGCCTCTAGAAGGGAGGGAGAGGCAGGAGGAAGGAGAGAGGAGAGAAGACAAGGAAGGAAAAGGTGGCAGGAATGGACGGGGAGGGTGGGATGGGGACCCAGGGAGGAGTGCGGGAGTTGGTGGGGGGAAAGGGAGGGAGGAGGGAAGGAATATGGATAATGCTTGATAGGTAGGTAGACAGCAGGTAGAGAATAGATATAGGACAGATAAATCATATAAACAGAGGATATAGAGATATCCTCAGGCGCAATGGCAGGGGTCCAAGGAGAGGAAGGAGCTAGTTCTGTGGGTGGAGGCAGAGGCTCCCAAGACTCCCCGTGGGAGAAGAAATTGGGAAGGGGAAGGGGGTTCACCTTGTGCAGGCCACGGCAGTGCAGCAGTGCCACCAACTGGTGAAAGTTTCCTTCTGTCACATTCAGAGTCTCCTCCAAGGACAGCAGGGGCTTCTGCAGGGCGAGGACAGGTCGTTTTCCCACCTACTCGTCAGGCTCGCCCAGTGTCCTGGCCCCGCCCACAAGATAGGGCCCCGCCCAGCTCTGCGGCCCCGCCCACAACCCAGAGCCCCGCCCACACACGGCCAAGGGGTCCGGTTCTTTGGGTCCCACCTACGCCCCACAGCTCCACCGCGCCCCTCCCGCCTTCCCCTTGGGGTCCCTGTGTCTGGGGAGCGCCCACCCACCGACCTGCGCTGAAGGGAACTGAGGCACAGCTTCTCTCTCCAGGCCCAGCAGCTGGGAGTGGATGTTGGCCAGAGCTCGCTGGGACAGAGTCAGCCTCTGCAGAGAGAGAAAGGGAGGGAGGAGGACCCAGGAGTCGACGCCCCCGGCCCTCTTTCCTCTCCTCCGGACACAGCACTCGGGCCCCTGGCCTGCATCCTCCCCGGAACCCAGGAGTCCAGGCCCCAGCCCCAGTCCCTCCCCCTCCCTTCAGAGTCCAGATTTCTGCTTCCCTCAACACCCCTTTCCCTTGCCCGCAGCCCTAACCTGTTGGAAGGGGTTGGAGACGGCCTGGTTGCAGAGGAAATAATAGCTCAGGATGTCTGAAGTGGGAGGAGGAGAGGGGAGGAGGCCATGAGCCTGGGCCCCCAGGGACCTCCCGGGGGAAGGCCGGGGACTGGGGGTTTAGCAGGGTTAGGGGCCTCAGCCCAGCTCTGGAGGCTTCCTGGAGCCAGATGGCCTTACCTTCAGAGACCCGCCAGCCCCGCGTCCCTTCTGCTCCTGCCACAGCCAGAGCAGGCGCTGCTGCGCATCCCTGTACTCCCTGGGAAACCCTGACTTAATGGTGCTCCCCAGTTTTCTCCAGGGGGCGAAAGCCCCCATTCCTGACGCCCAGAAGCACCCTTTCCTGACCCTCCTCTCTCTTCCTGGCACCAGCGTATTAATCCCGCCCTCTTTTCCAGCGCACCAGGAGAGGCGCTGCCAGCGGGAGCGGAAGGGATGAGGGTCTGGGCGGTGGCGGGGCTCCGGGAGGGCTCCCAGCTGGGGAGTGGCCAGGAGCCCTGCTTCCCTTCCAGAGGGCTGGGTCTCGCCTGGCGGGCTGTACCCCCACCCCACCCTGGGCAGGACCGGGCACAGAGGAGGCCTGAGGAAGCCAGGGCCTGCACTGCCCAACCCGGCGGACCCACCGGGCCCTTGGAAATCACCTGAGCTGAGCCCTGTCTCCTCCTGGGTCAGGTTCAGAACATAAGGGTCTGGATTGGAGCAGAAGTCACTGAGGCCCTGTGTAAGGCAGCAGAAAAGGGGCTCAAACCCGAAACTGCCCCGATTCCGCACTTCCACAGCACCCAGTGCCTGGCTCCCCGGCTCCCCTCCGCACCCAGGGGTCCAGGTCCCAGCCCTTCCTCCCTCAGACTCAGGAGTCCAGGTCCCAGCCCCTCCTCCCTCAGACCCAGGGGTCCAGGTCCCAGCCCCTCCTCCCTCAGACTCAGGGGTCCAGGCCCCAGCCCCTCCTCCCTCAGACCCAGGGGTCCAGACTCCCCAGCCCCTCCTCCCTCAGACCCAGGAGTCTAGGCCCCCAGCTTCTCCTCCCTCGCACCCAGGAGTCCAGACCCCCAGCCCCTCCTCACTCGTTCCTAGGAATCCAGGCTTCCAGCCCCTCCTCCATTACAGCCTAAGCGTCCAGGACACCGACCTGTACCCACTCAGGACCCAGGAAACCAGCCCTAAACCTCAGAGCTGTGATCGTGCCCCCCAATTCCTTTCTCTGCTAAGCCATGCCATCCCAGGATCCAGAAGTTGAAGTCTCCAGGCCCCCTGAGTCCCAGAGCCCAATGGCACGGCCCCGGCACTCACCACGGCCGTGGCTGCCTCCAGGCCCATGGAGCCCCAGCTCAGGACAAGAACCAGGAGACTCATGACCGTCATCCTAGAGTGGGGGAGGGAGGATCAGCCTGGGGTTCTTAATCTCCTAGCCTAGCCTCTTTCCACACCCCAAATCCCATCACAGCCGCCCCCCCAACCCCACACCCACCTCTAGAGCCTGGAGGATCAGAATTAGGGACACAGAAGTTCGGTGGTGGGGGGTGGGCCGGTGGCTGCTGACGTCCAGCTGGACATCTGGCTCCTGCCCAGATGAGCAGGGTGTGGGGTATGAGCAGGGCCCTGGGCTAGGGGGTCGTGGCTGGGATCCCAGCTCCAGGACCCTGAGACAGTGACTGCTCACCTCTGGGCTCACTTCCCCCGAAGGTTCCCAAGTCCACCCACAGCCTGGTCAGCCTCTGGCTCTGCCCTGTCTCCTCTGAGAATGGGAGACAGTTCCAAGGCTGAAATCTGAAAGTCTCTGGACTTTCCAGGTGGGGAGGGGTGCAGGGGGCGTGTCAGCATTGGTAGGGTGACCAACAAGCTGGAAGGGCACCCAGGGGTCCCCAAACTGAAGGCCTGGCCTCCAGTCCCAGACTTGCCCCGTGTTGGCTAGGTTTACCTGTCTGCAAGCCTTCGCGGGGTCTCTCCCACTCTCTCAGGGACAATGGAGCCACGAGTTCAACTCTGCCCCACCCCACCAGGGCCAGAGAGGATGCAGGGACTCCTCCAATGGGAATGGCCTGCCTGGTTCAAATCCCAGCTCTGGCACTTCTAGCTGTGTGGCCCTGAGCAAGTGGCCCAGCCTCTCTGATCTTCAGTCTCTCCCTCTGTTAAACAGGGAGAAGGGCCGGGTGTGGTAGCTTGTGCCTGTAAACCTAGCACTTTGGAAGGCTGAGGCAGGCAGATCACTTGAGGCCAGGAGATCGAGACTAGCCTGGGCAACATAGCGAGACTCCATCTCTACAAAAATATGCAAAACTTAGGCCAGGCGCGGTGGCTTATGCCTGTAATCCCAACACTTTGGGAGGCAGAGGCGGGCGGATCACCTTAGGTCAGGCGTTCGAGACCATCCTGACCAACATGGAGAAACCCCGTCTCTACTAAAAATACAAACTTAGCCAGATATGGTGGCACATGCCTGTAATCCCAGCTACTTGGGAGGCAGAGGCAGGAGAATCGCCTGAACCCAGGAGGCAGAGGTTGCAGTGAGCCGAGATCGCACCACTGCACGCCAGCCTGGGCAATAAGAGCTAAACTCCATCTCAAAAGAAAACTTAGCCGGGAGTGGTGGCATGAGCCTATGGTCCCAGCTATTCTAGAGGCTGAGGTGGGGGGATCACTTGAGCCTCAGGGGACAGAGGCTGCAGTGAGCCGAGATCGTGCCACTGCACTCCAGCCTGGGCAACAAAGCAAGACCTTCTCAAAATAAAAAATAAAAATAGGCCGGGCGCGGTGGCCCAAGCCTGTAATCCCAGCACTTTGGGAGGCCGAGGTGGGCGGATCACGAGGTCAGGAGATTGAGACCATCCTGGCTAACACGGTGAAACCCCCGTCTCTACTAAAAAATACAAAAAACTAGCCGGGCGAGGTGGTGGGCACCTGTAGTCCCAGCAACTTGGGAGGCTGAGGCAGGAGAATGGCGTAAACCCGGGAGGCGGAGCTTGCAGTGAGCTGAGATTCGGCCACTGCACTCCAGCCTGGGTGACAGAGCAAGACTCTGTCTCAAAAAAAAATAAAAAATAAAAAACAAAAATAAAAAACAGGGAGAAGGAAGCACCTTCCTCACAGGGTGGGCATGAGGCACTCCAAGGAGTACAGAGAAGAGGGTCGGGCGCGTAGAGCGGTCTGTGAAATAAGCGTGGTCCTGTGGCTCTGCCACGACACTTAAGGGCCACTCAGCCTCGGACTTGGCCACCACCCTCTGCCTCAGGTCCCTGACCGGCCACATGGAGTCTTATGGTAACTCCTTTATCTGAAGGAATCAGCATGCATGACCCTCAATAGATCATCATCCTCATCTTTTTTTTTTTCTTTTTTTTGCACTCTGTCGCCCAGGCTGGAGTGCAATGGTGTGATCTCGGCTCACCGCAACCTCCACCCCCCGGGTTCAAGCAATTCTCCTGCCTCAGCCTCCTGAATATCTGGGACTACAGGCGCACATACCAGCAAACCCGGCTAATTTTTGTATTTTTAGTAGAGACGGGGTTTCTCCATGTTGGTCAGGCTGGTCTCGAACTCCTGACCTCATGATCCACCCAGCTCGGCCTCCCAAAGTGCTGGGACTACAGGCGTGGGCCACAGCGCCTGGTCTCATCCTCATCTTTATTGCAAACACAATGATTATTTCTGCCATGATTCCAGCATACTTCATACTGTGAGGGCTGCCTGTTTCCAGGTCTGTCTCCGCCTCCCTCCTGGGCTACTCTGACTCTCTTTTCTTCGTGTGTACCCAGCCCTGAAGGACCACTGTCCTCCGTGTAGGACAGTTGTAAGACTGAGGTCCTGCCTGCCAAGAGAGTGCCAGGCACGCACTGGGGAACCCCTACTGCCTACACTTACACGATCACCAGCCACTTGCTCTGCTTCGCCAGGCCCAGGAGGGTGAAGAGGCAGACCAGCAGCTCCAGGAGCAGCAAGAGGACATAGGCCAGCCACCTGGGAGGGGAGATGGTAGGGCTGAAACCACAAACCTGCCTCCAGGCACCCCGGCGGAACAGCAACCCCGCCACCAACGTTCACCCCGCACCCCCAGCTCAGCCTCACATTCACTATCCTCCAAGCTCAGCCTCCTGCTGTTTACTGGGTCTGGGCCACAGCCCAGCTCATCTGTGAAATGGGCTCATCAGGAGATGGGTCACTGGAGAGGTTTAGAATACAGGTCCTGAGCACCTGGGACTGTCCCCTGGCTGGGCCGCATACACGTGCCCTGGACCAGGGACATGTGATGTGTCCTCTCCGAGCTCCCCATCCCCGACCATGCCCTGCAGAGTGGAGATATTCCTTCTGAGACTGCACCGAGGAGCCCATCGCATCCCCTGAGGGCAAACGTCTGGAGGCAGAGGCTGCCTGGTCTCAATCCCAGCCCCTCCGCTTAACCAGCCGGGTAACTGTCTGGGTAACCTTAGCCTCTCGTTCCTCAGTTTCCCCACCTGCAACGTGGGGAGCGCAGCACCACTGGCTTGAGAATGTTGCCCCAAGTGGGATGCGTGACTAGAAGTGCTCAGAGAGTGCCAGGTATGTGGACACACTTAGAGGTTAGTCTGAGCATGAAAGAGGGAACTGAGATGTTATTTAATAGTTAATACTTGGCCGGGCGCAGTGTAATCCCTGCACTTTGGGAGGCTGAGGCGAGCGGATCACTTGAGGTCAGGAGTTTGAGACCAGCCTGGCCAACATGGTGAAACCCCGTCTACTAAAAATACAATTAGCTGGGTGTAGTGGTGCATGCCTGTAATCCCAGCTACTTGGGAGGCTGAGGCGGGAGAATCATTTGAATCCAGGAGGTGGAGGTTGCAGTGAGCCAAGATAGCGCCATTGCACTCCAGCCTGGGCAACAAGAGTGAGACTCAGCCTCAAAAATGAAAAAAAAAAGTTAATACTTAAATATCTGCAAAGCGCCCACCACGATTCAGGAGGTGCAAGCACCCAAGCCACAGTGAGAGACAGGACCAGCTGGATTTCCTAAGCCCACCAAGAACCCCTAAGCCTAGCTGGGAAGGTGACCGCCTCCACCTTTAAACACGGGGCGTGCAAGTTAGTTCACACCTGACCAATCAGGTAGCAAAGAGAGCTCACTAAAATGCTAATTAGGCAAAAACAGGAAGTAAAGAAATAGCCAATCATCCATCGCCTGAGGGCACAGGGGGAGGGACAGTGATCGGGATATAAACCCTGGCATTCCAGCCTGCAACGGCTACCTGCTTTGGATCCCCTCCGTTTGTATGGGGGCTATTTTCACTCTATTAAATCTTGCAACTGCACACTCTTCTGGTCCATGTCTGTCATGGCTCGAGCTGAGTTTTACTCGCCGTCCACCACTGCTATTTGCCGCAGTCGCAGACCCACCACTGACTTCCAACCCTCCGGATCCAGCAGGGTGTCTGCTGTGCTCCTGATCCAGCCAGGTGCCCATTGCTACCCCCAATCGGGCTAAAGGCTTGCCTTTGTTCCTGCACTGCTCAGTGCCTGGGTTCGTCCTAATCGAGCTGAACACTAGTCGCTGGGTTCCACGGTTCTCTTCCATGACCCATGGCTTCTAATAGAGCTATAACACTCACTGCATGGCCCAAGATCCCATTCCTTGGAATCCGTGAGGCCAAGAACCCCAGGTCAGAGAACAAGAGGCTTGCGGCTACCTTGGAAGCAGCCAGCCACCATCTATGGAGTTCTGGGAGGAAGGACCCCCCCCGCCCCAGGGAACAACAGTGCAGTGCCCGGCACATAGTAAGTGCCCAGTTAATCCTGCCATCCTCTGCAGGCCCCACAAGCTTGGGCTTCACTCCTTACCCTCATCTCTGGCTGCTTCCCCCAGCCTCACAAGTGCCGCCTCCTGCAAGACTCCCTTGAGGGCCCCTGATTTGTCTCTCGAGGGACTCCCAAGTGTGGGGTGCTTTCGCAGTGGTGCACCCGGAATATACCCTGGCGTCACCCTCATGGCTACCCCCACTTCCCTGCCCTCCCCCAGGAGGAGGAGCTGAGGCCCGGCTTGTGTGGCCCCTGGGCCTGACCACAGTGCAGGGCCTGGATTTCCGCAAACTTAGGCCTGTCTGTCTGTTGCATCTGCTGCCCTGCAGGTGTGTCTTGACCTCCAGCTTTTTCAGCCCCAGTCTGCCTTCCCCACTCCCGGAAGGTCTCCTGAATCTCAGCCCATGCCCCGCAGGCAGGGCCCCCAGCTGACGTCGCATGAATGAATGAATGAATGAATGAATGATTACTAATGGTCAAAGCGATGAGGATGCCATCATGGTGGCCGTTGGGAAGGGTGGCTGCCTGGACGCTGCACAGCCCCCTGCCTCCTCTTCTCCAAATGCCACCTTCTCAGTCCCCCTGATGAACTGCCAGACTCTGTTCCACCTCATCTCCCTCTATAATTTTCTTTTTTTCTTTCTCTTTTTTTTTTTTTTGAGACAGAGTCTCACTCCACTACTCAGGCTGGAGTGCAGTGGCACAATCTCCGCTCACTGCAAGCTCCGTCTCCCGGGTTCACACCATTCTCCTGCCTCAGCCTTCTGAGTAGCTGGGACTACAGGTGCCCGCCACCACGCTTGGCTAATTTTTGTATTTTTTTAGTAGAGACGGAGTTTCACCGTGTTAGCCAGGATGGTCTCCATCTCTTGACCTCGCGATCCTCCCACCTCGGCCTCCCAAAGTGCTGGGATTACAGGCATGAGCCACCGTGCCCGGCCCCCTCTGTAATTTTCTCCAAAGTTCTCATTGCCCAACACCTTACAGACGGTGTTTGCTCTGCGTTTGTCCCTTGCTGGCGCCCCCTAGAGGACGCAGCCATGTGGCAGGGATTTCTGCCACTTGCTCACTGACCTGCCCCGCTACCTGGGCGGCTGCACTTCCTGTGCATCTCTGCGGTGCTCTCCCTGTGCCAATCGCCCTTCTCGGCACTCAGATGCCAACTCAACAGTTCACAACAATTTAACAAGGGGGACGCTGCCCCGATTCCCATTTCACAGACGGGGCCTGCAAAGTAACTTGATTGCAGCCGTGTAGTTAGGGAGGGGCTGGCTGGCTTTCAAGTGCAGGTTCCTAACCTGTAGGTGTGCTGCCTCTTTCGCCAGAGGGTGCTAAATAAATGGTGCGGAACAACACTTTGGGAGGCCTAGGAGGGCAGATCACGAGGTCAGGAGTTCGAGACCAGCCTGGCCAACATGGTGAAACCCCATCTCTACTAAGAATACAAAAATTAGCCGGGCATGGTGGCGCATGCCTGTAATGCCAGCTACTTCCGAGGCTGAGGCAGGAGAATCGCTTGAATCCGGGAGGCGGAGGTTGCAGTGAGCTGAGATCGCGCCGTTGCACTCCAGCCTGGGCAACAGAGCGAGACTCCATCTCAAAAAAAAAAAATAGTGCTGAAAAAATGCACGTGTCACACGAATGAACGGGTGAGTGAGTGACCTGCTGGGTTAGTTCAGGAGTGACTGAGTCCAAGAGTGACTTGCTGAATGAATGAGTCAAGGAATGAACGCATGTGTGAATAAGTGAGTGAAGTGATGATGGAGGGGGTGGGTGAGTGAATGGGCTAGGACATGGGTGTCAGGATGGTCATGGGGTCCCGTGATCTGTCCCTCCACAGCAGGGTTTATCGACCTTATCTTTTTTTTTTTTTTTTTTTTGAGATGGAGTCTCACTCTATCGCCCAGCCTAGAGTGCAATGGCGAAATCTCGGCTCACCACAACCTCCACCTCCCGGGTTCAAGGGATTCTCCTACCTCAGCCTCCCGAGTAGCTGGGATTACAGACGTCTGCCACCACACCTGGCAAATTTTTGTATTTTTGGTAGAGTCAGGGTTTCACCCTGTTGGCCGGGCTGGTCTCAAACTCCTGACCTCAGGTGATCCACCCACCTCAGCCTCCCAAAGTGCTGGGATTACAGGCCTGAGCCACTGAGCCTTGCCAGCCTCGTCATAATTGACGTGGTGGCTGGATCATTCCCTGCCGATGGGTGGGGAGGGGGGGTCCTGTGCCTTGCAGGGTGTTGAACAGTCCCTGGGCCCTACCCACTGGATGCCAGAAGGTGCACACCCCCCCCCCACCGGCTGTCACAACCAAAACTGTCTCCAGACATGGCCAACTGTCCCCCCGGGGACTCTGTCTGAGAGCTGCTGGCACTGAGAGCAAGAGCAGCAGCAGCCTCTCACCTGTATTCCTCCACGAAGGACACATCTTCAGCCACCTGCAGGGGGCTCAGGGGCACTCCCTGCCAGAAGGCCAGCCCCTGTAGCTGCTGGGCCACCGCCTCTGCCTGCCGCCGAGCCCCTCGGGCAGCAGCCACCAGCTCCGTGCGCGGCTCGAGCACCTCCTCCAGGGTGGTCAGCTCTGTCCTCACTGCCTCACCCAGCCTCTCCACCATCTCCAACACCTGGGGACAGGACAGGGGCTGAGGTCTGGGAAGGACATCCTTGGGGGAGCCCACGGTCAAGGCCCGGGGTTTTAGAGGTGAAGGAGGGGTGCACAGTAGCGGGTGTCTGAGATCTGGAGTCTGGGACGTCTGAGGATTGAGGAAGGGAAGGGGTTGGGGAGGGGCTCCAACATCAAGTTCATGGAGTTCTGTGGCCTCTATCCAGAGCTCTGGGCGGTTGGTAGCTTGAGCCCAGGGTAGTGAGTCCAGCCCCAGGACTGAGAATAAGTCTGGAGCTTTAGGTCTGAAGTTTTCATCTGCCTTCCAGAATCTGGGGTCTCAAGTCTGGGTCCCATGGTCTGGGGTCTGCAGCTGGACATGGAATCTAAGGCCTGAGGTGGGGCCAGGCCTCAGCCCCAGGGCCCAGAATCCTGGAGCTGAGGTCAGAGCTGAAGCCTCAAGTCGGGGACCTGGGCCTCAGGGCGGGGGTCCCTGAGCTTGCTTATGGGCCAAGAATCAGGTCCCGGGCCCTGGATCTGGGCTGAGGACAGGGGCTGGGGCCCTGGATCTGACCCGAGGACAGGGGCTGGTGTCCCTGGTAGTTGGTTTCTGTGTGGTTTGGGGATTTCAGGTAAGGTCCAGGGCTGGGCCTGGGTGTGAGGTCCTCAATTTGCAGCCAGGGTAGGGGGTTGGGCGGACAGTCTGAGGTCCGTGGGTCTCAGGATGAAGTTCCGAATCTGGGGTCCTAAGCTTCAAGCCTGGGGTCTTAGCTCTGAGTTTGGATCCCTTTGTCCTTGGGTGTGGGGAGCCCATCCGGGTGTGGGTCTGGGGTCCCACTGGTCGCTGGCCCCTCACCAGGTGGTCAATGGCGCTGAGTGTGTGGTTGGCGTGCAGCAGCGCGGAGCTGAGCTGGGACACCCCATCACTGGTCTCACTGTTGCCATAGAAACCGATGCCAATGCCAATGCTGAGCGGAGGAGGAGGGAAAGGAATCTCAGCGGGTCCCAGGACCCCGGGGGCCACCGTCCCCTCCCACCCCATCCCCTCCACCCCGCCTTCTTATCCACTCCTCCCATCTCTCAGCTCCACCCCATTGGTCCAGCCCGTGGGAAAAGGGCGACTTCAGCCTGGCCCCCATCGGTTGCCAAGGTAACAGGAAGGCCTCACTCCCCCAGCGGAGGGACGTCATTGTGATGCTAATGGTGGGTGGAGTGGTAGGGGGGAGGGAGCCCCCGATTTAACTCGCACCTCCCTGGAGCAGAACCCCAGTCACACCCAGCTTCGGGATGGGCCGTCTTCTCCTCCCGATGACTGCCTGCCCCACACCCTTCCCCCGCATCCTTTGCCAGGCAGGCAGCCCTCCTGGCACCTGTCCTAGGGTGCCCTAGGGTCCTTGGAGTCCGCAGCGTCAACCCCTCGTGCTGAGACGTCCCCCGCCCCCACCTGCTGGGGGTTCCTAAGGGTACGAGGGGGCAGCTGTCACCATCTCCTGGGGGGGACGCTGAGCCTGGAGCTCTCAGCCTTCCCCCACCCGGGACCCAAGCGTCTGGCCAGCTGGGAGGGAAGTAAGGGAATGTGGGAGGGAGGCTGGAGGATGGGCCAGAAGCCGTGCCCCCGCCCGGGCCCTGCCAACACACAGAGCTCCATTGTGGGGCCTGAATGTGGGGCCCCAGACCCCTCCCGTCCCCGCCCCCAGCCGGTGTCCCGCAGTGGAGGGGGCGGGAGCCTGACACCCTCACAGTTCCCAGCCCCGGCTGGGCCTCCACCCCCATCCCTCGGGTCGGACGCCCAGTGTCCCCGCCCCATTGTTTGGAGTCCTACAAAGCTCCTCTTGTTCCCAGTTCCCCCCAGGCTGCGGGGGCTGGGGCCGTGTCTCTCCCCCACTGGGCCTTTGTCCACCTCCCCTGTCTCCCCCCACGCCAGAGAGCTGGAGGAGGAAGCGTCCTGGATACAGGGCACCCATACAGGTCCCTCCCCTTGCCCACTGTGGGTCTGGGGGCAGGCCGCTGGCCCTGTGGGACCGCCCCCCCGCCGTCTGTAACTTGTGGGTGCCGCTGTGCTGGGGAGGGGGCTATGCTCAGAGCTTGCTCTTGGTAGGTGGTGTGTTCACATTGGAAGCCCCCTAAGCTCCCTTTGGGGGGTGTGACGGGGTCCTACTAACCTGGGTCTGAATCTCCATGCTGCCTCTTAAGCCACGTGGCCTTGAAAGGTGACCTCCCCTCTGTCCCTGAGCCTTCCTCTTTGGAAACTGGGCCTGATACCCCTGAATCCAGCAGCATTATTGTGAGAAGGAATTAGACCAGCTCAGGTCTGGGCACAGATGAGGTGCTCTTGGAGGGTGAGTATCTATTTATCGTCTGTCTCCCTGATTAGAACATAAGCTGCATGAGGGGCTCCTTGCCTGGCTTGGTCAGTATCTGGCACATAGTAGATAATAAATAGTTGTCGAATGAATGAACTGGTGAATGACGGAATGACAGACATCACCAGTTAACGCTGGCTGAGAGTAGCTGCAAGCCAGACACTGTGCTTTCTCTCCATCTTACCCCAGCAGGAGGTGGGCGAGACGGTAATACCCACTTTACAGAGGTGGACATTGAGGCCCAGGGAGACTATCACTCCCTTAGGTCACACGGCTCTTCAACGGGAGAGCCACCAAAACCAAGCCATCTGACTGCCCCTGCACCTTCTCACCAGATGGCTGCCCTTGATTCACTTCCTCTCCAGAACCTCACTTTCTCCATCCATCGAATGGAAGAGTCCTTCCTGCTGTGCGCTGAAGCGGGCTTGCAAATGGCGGGGAGAGGGACGAGGGAATTTTCTCCTCCCTGTCTGCTTCCTCCACGTCCCCGGAGGACACCCCCAGGAAGGCCAGCAGAGAGCTTGGGGAGCCCTGTCCCCACCGCCCACCCACCCTGGGGCCCCATTACCAGCCGGCGAGAAGGGCGACAATGCAGCTCCAGGTGATGCAGCCTCCTCCGGGCGAGGGGGTCTTGGACCCGGGGGGCTCGGGGGGCCGGCAGCAGCAGAAGCGGATGAGGTAGACAGCGATGAAAATGAGGCTCAGGCCCAAGCCCAGGCCCGCCAAGGCTGCCACCAGCAACAAGGCCTGGGGCAAGGGGGTGACATCAGGCCTCCGAGCGCACCGGCGTGTTCCACACTCAGATCCCCCTTCCTGCGTGGCTCGGGGGTCGGGGTCTGGGACGTCAGAGTGAAGGTGGGAGGCGTCCCTGGCCTAATCTTGGGGGAGATTGGGGCCCAGCCCCTCCCAGGCCGGCAGCTGGGGTTCCAGTTGTCAGGGCCAGCTTGCTGGAGGGAGCTTCCAACTGGGGGCCCCCAGCCTTGGGTCCCAGGTCTGCTCTGCCCTCCAATAGCTGTGCCACCTTTAGCAGGAACCACCCCTTCTCCGAGCCCGGGTTTCCTTCTACAGCCAGCAGTTGGAATGGAGCATTTCCCAAGGCCCCTCCACAATTGTGTGGGATCGGGGGGCCAGTGGGGGTGTGGGGGCACCTGTTCCTGGTGCCCCGGGCCAGGCTGGGGGAGGTGTGCTTCCTCCCCCTCTCCTCCCTGCTCACTGTCTCCCCTGCTGCTAAGCGCCACACCCCACTGCACCTGAGCTTGTCACCCAGAGACGGGGCGAGGGGCTGTGTGGCAACGTGTGTGTGTGTGTGTGTGTGTGTATGCAAGACTCAGAAATGGAAACTGGGAGAATGAAGACAGAACAGAGAGAGAGAGAGAGATGGAGGGAGGCGCGGGCAGAAAGACACAACCAAAAAAAGAGACAAAGATAAGACGAGGTTTGGGCATGAGTCAGAAAAAGGCAGAGAGCAAAAGAGATCAAATCAGAGAGGAAGAGCAGAGTAAGGGAGAGAGAGCGTGAGAACACGATAGAGACAGGAGAGACACACAAGGATAGAGAGGCTGAGAGAGCCAAGGCCCGGGAAGACAGAGGCAGGCAGTGGAAACATTCTGCCGTGGGGAAAGCCTTGCAGAATAACAGGGTGTCCACGTGGCGGGGATTTGACAGCTGACCTGTGCGGTCCCAGAGGCCCAGAGGACCACAGTGGCCCAGGGGGTTTGTACTGAGCCCCGGAGCTTGGAGGGACAACATTGGGATCAGAGTCACACTTCTGGACTTGCCAAGGCTGTTTCCCCTAAACCATGGTGTTTCTGCCTTTGTCCACACACACACACACACACGCACACACACACACACACACACAGTGGCACAGTGGTGTGTGTGTGTCCTAGGTGTGTGCAGTGTTTGTGTTTCTGGTGTGAGACTGGATGTTTTTATCTTTGGGTTGTCTCCATGAGATGAGGATGCACCTGAGTGTGCCTCCTGGGTGCACTGGTGTCTGCAAATGAGAACATCTGTGGGCATTTGCGTGTTCTGGGCACAGTTCCTTGGGTCTGTGAGTGGGTCCAGTTGTGTGTGTGGAACAGTGTGGGTGAGTGTGTGTGGATGCGTGACTGCATGTGAGGGTGTGTGTGCACATGAATGTTAGAGTCAATATATGTGTGCGTGTGTGTGTATATGTGAATGTGAAATGTATAAATGTGTGTGTGCATGTGTGTGTATATGGGAGTATAAACGTGTATGTGTAACTGTGCATGCATGAGTGTGTGAGTATATATATATAAGTGCAGTGTGTGCTTGTATATGGGAGTAAATGCTTATGCGTGTATGTGAGCGTGTGTTGAGTCACTGTGTGCAGTGTGTGTGTGCATGTGTGATTGTGTATGTGTAAGTGGGTCTAGCCACGTGAGTGTATGCATGTGTCCATATGCGCGTGTTGTATGTGGGTGTGAGTGCATAGTGGGAGTAGTAAATGGGTATATGTGTGTGTGCATATGTGTGTGCATGTGGTGTATAATGAGAGTAAGTGGGTGTGTGTGTGCCGGTGCAGATGTGTGTGAGTGTGTGCATGTGCGTAATGAGAGTAAGTGGGCGTGTGTGTGCCTGTGCAGATGTGAGTGTGTAATGGGAGTGTGTGCATGTGAGTGTGTAATGGGAGCGTGTGTGTGCCTGTGCAGATGTGAGTGTGTACTGGGAGTAAGTGGGCGTGTCTAAGTGTGCCTGTGCATATGTGAGTGCATGTGTGTAATAAGATTAAGTGGACGTGTGTGTGTGCCTGTGCATATGTATGTGTGCAGGTGTGTAATGAAAGTAAGTGGGCATGTCTGAGTGTACCTGTGCATGTGTGTGAGTGCATGTGAGTGTGTAATGGGAGTAAGAGAGTGTGTGTGTAATGGGAGTAAGTGGGCGTGTCTGAGTGTGCCTGTGCATATGTGTGTGCATATGAGTGTGCTGGCAGTAAGTGGGCGTGTGTGTGTGCCTGTGCATGTGCGGGTGAGTGTGTGTGTGTGTGTGGCTGTGTGCCTCCCCGCGGGCCAGTGTCCCAGAGGCCCTGGCTGTGTCTGCAGCTGTGCCCACGGTGGTCGCGTCCCTGGAGGGGTCCCCCTCTCCCCGCTCGGCTGTGGGGCTCTGCCTGCGCATCCCTGCCACCCTGACCCTGACCCTGACCCCCGACCATGGGGGTGGAGTGAGGCTCCCCCAAACCCGTGCCTCTGGCGGTGACTGGGGCCGCGGATCCCCGCGTAAGGCTTCGGGAGGTCTCGGGGCCAGAGCGGGCGTGAGTCTGGGCCCAGGCCGGAGCCGGTGGAGCAGCGGGGTTGGAGGTGGCCGTTGTGTAATCGCGAGGCTGTGGGCGAGGGGACGGCGGTCCCCGTGTGTGGGGAGAGGGGGCGGGCGAGGAGCAGGCGGGGAAGAGCTGCTCAGGGCTGTGCCAGCCATGACCCAAATAGCTCAGAACACAGCACGCATCCCCTCCGCGCTTTTCTGGGACCCCCTCCACGCCCCCTGAGCTCTCCAATCCCAGCCCCCTTTTCCCAGGAGCCACCCAGGACAGCGCCCAGGGACTCAGGCCCCATCGGCAGGGCCAGGACCCGTCCTGGGGCCACATCGGGACTCCCTGCACCCCCACCCGTGCCCAGCTCTGCCGAGCGTTTCTCCTCATTAATCTCAAAGTCAAGGACTTGAATTAAACTGGGTCAGAGGACAGCTCTTTCGCCCGTTGGAGCTGCCCCGAGCTGGGTCCCTTCCCCAGGGACCCCGGCTTCTGTGAGGTTCCCACACCGGCCCCACCCTCGAGACCCGGGTCTGTCATCCCGAGGCTCCCCAAACCCAGCCTCATCTCGGCCCTCACCCCTGCAGTGTCCTGACCACCCCTTCTTTCTTGGGACGGGCAGGAAGCTTTCTCTCCCAGCGCGCCTTCATTTTCCAGCCCTGGCACTCAGCCCCTTGAGCCCCCTTCCCCATTTCAGACTTTCAATCCCATCCCAGCACCCCAGAAGCCAGCGTTTTCCCCTCCACCGTTATCAGGTCCGCTGTCTCCTGGGTCCCGCCTTATCTGGGACATATTCACCTGGTCTGATCCTGTGGGGCTGGGTCATCTTTTAGGGCAGGGAGAGTAGACCTAACCTCCCGATGACCCTGGAGGCCAGCTTCCCAGGCAGGTATCAGACACCCGGGAATCCGGGCCCCCGCTCCCCTCCACTCCGTGAACTCAGGGGTCCAGGCCCCCAGCCTTCCCTTATTGAGAGAGCTCCAGGTCTGGACCCCGAGCGAGCGCGCGTCCCGGGAGAACCTCCAGGTATGGAAGCCCCAGGCTCCTCCTCCCTTCGCAACCCCAAAGTCCGGGCCGGCCCCCAGCCTCCAGGGGAGCTCAGGAGATCTGTGACCCAGCCCCCTCCTCCGTCGGGACCCAGGAGCTCCGGCCCCCAGCCCTGGCCCCCAGGCCCTGGCACCCGGTCCCACCTGCTGGTATTCCTGCTCTTGGGGCGCGAAACCGCTGGGCACCGGGCGGAGCTGGAAGTCGGCGCGGGGCAGCTGGTGGAGGAGATGCACCCAAGCCGAGGGCCGGTAGCCCGGGGGCGCCCCCATGGCCCCCGGGGGAGGGGGCAGCGGGGCGGACGCCGGGGCTGCGGGAGCCTCCGGAGTCGAGCGGGGCGCGGGCGGCGCGGGGTCTGGCTGGGCTCAGGGGAGCGGGAGCGGGGGGGAGGCAGGGGGCGCAGGTGCGGGGCGCGGGCTCTGTCACGCCGGGAGGGAGGCGCGGGCCGGGCGGGGACGGTGCTGCCCCTGGTGGTCGCGGCGGGGACTGCGGGAATCAGGAGGCTCCGGCGCTCCACTCCCCCCACTCTCCCGCCCCCACCGTGGTCGCGGCTCCCACCTGCTGCCCGCGCAGGTACCGCGCTGCTGGCGTCGGTGGCATCCGGAGAGCTGGCTTGCACCGCGATCGAAAACAGCCCTCCTTATCCATAAGAGGCCACTCATACTGTTATTTCACCCTAAAACCTAATGATCCCTTTATCCTTATGGAGAACCTTCATGTTTGTGTAAAGGTCGCTAGTAAGTACAGAGCGTTTTACAAAGAGCGGCCAGTTCCACGGATAAAAATTCCTCTGTGTATGAAAGTGCTCTCACCTGTAAAAGATGCCCGTGTTTCTGTAAAATCTCCGTCCCACTTTTATTCCTAACCTGTATAAGGACACAGCTTCTAAGCACAAACCCTCCTGTGTGTATAGGCTACTCCAGAACGTACTGTAAAATCCACACGCCTGTGTAAGAAGCCTTCATATCTGCATAAGGACCCCTTCTACCTGCATAAGGACCCTGGCCGTCTATATTAAGGGGCCCTTCCCTTCCTGTAAACTGATTCAGGATTGCTTCCGTGTGTACAGCAACCCCTGCCCCTTGGCATTCGCCGTACAGTTACAAAGTATTTTTCCAGCCACTCCCCATGTTACATGTCACTGGAATCCTCCGATGCCACACTGATAGATGGGGAAGTGCCAGCCCTGGGAGGGGACTTGGCCACTCTGACATCATCACCCAGACTGTCATTATTGCAGCCAAAACTAGGTGCTCAGGAATCTGGCCCCAGGGGTCCCCTCTGGCTGTAAGGCAGGATGAGACTTTGCCATCTGAAAACCACACACGTGGCCTCTCTTGTGGGGATTGGGATGAGTGAAAGAAGGGAGACTAGTGCTCCACTTACCCCATTTCCATATTTTGCTCCAGATTGACAAGAAAGGACTAGGGAAAAGAGGAATGCTGGTGGTAGTGGAGGTGGTGGTGATGATGATAATGATGGTGGTGATTATGTTTGTGATACGGTGTCATGATGATGGTGGCGGTGACGGTGATGGTGGTGATGATGGTGATGATGATGGTGATGATGATGGTGGTGGTGAGGATGGTGGTGATGATGATGGTGGTGGTGATGATGGTGATGGTGATGATGGTGATGGTGGTGATGATGGTGATGGTGATGATGATGATGATGGTGATGATGAAAGTTGTGATGATGATGATGGTGGTGGTGAGGATGTTGGTGATGATGGTGATGGTGGTGGTGATGATGGTGGTGATGATGGTGATGATGATGGTGATGGTGATGATGATAGTTGTGATGGTGATGATGATGATGGTGGTGGTGAGGATGGTGGTGATGGTGGTGATGATGGTGGTGATGATGGTGATGGTGGTGGTGATGATGGTGATGGTGACGGTGATGATGATGGTGAAGATGAGGATGTGATGATGGTGATAATGATGATGATGATGGTGAAGACATGATTATGTTGACATGTCACGATGATAATGTTAATGATGATGAGGATGGCGGTGGTGGAGGATGATGAGGTGATGACAGTGAAGAGGAGAATAGTGATATTGGTGATGGTATTGATGATGAAATAGGAGAGTGAGAATAGGCACCTTATCTCTCTTTCTCTCTCTCTCTCTCTCTCACACACACACACACACACAGATACACCCTCCCCTCACTACCCCAGGTCTTCTCCAGCTTCCTGTGGTTCTGACTAGAGTCATGTTCTCCACCATTCCCAGCCAGGTACTCTACATGGGGCTTGGGGATGAAGAAGATCCTGCGATGAGCAGTCAGAGGCATACTGAATGACTCTAGGCAAGTATTTTTCCATCTTGGAGTCTCTCTTTTTCTGTCTGTAAAATGAAGGCTTAATGCTTTAGGGCTAAGATTAGTGTATTCTAAAACTCTTGTTCTGACAATCTCTTGCGTCATGTCCACAGCCAGTGTTTGTTGTAGCAGCAGGATTTGCAAATGGGAAGAATTCCAAATGTCATGATGTACACAGTTGGGCGTGTGTACATCAGAGTGCAGGACAGTGAGGTGCTGGTGGTGACTCTGCAACCCAATAGAGTTCAGTGGCTTCATATTGCCCAGAGAATCAAATCACACCCTCAGCCCTAAGTTTATGCCCTCCATCGTTTGGCCCTGCATCAGCCCTTTCCGTAAGGATAATATTCTAGATTAGTGGTTTCCAATTTATAGAGCCACAACCCACAGTGAGAAATACATTTTACGTTATGATCTAGTATACACACACACACACACACACACACACA